ACCCCAAAATACCCCCAAACACCCCTAGATATCCTCCCTGAGCCCCCTGCAGATCCCCACCCTGCTCTTCTTTTCCAGGCCCGTGGCACCAGGAACCCTCTGCAGAGCTTCAAGTTCTCCCGGCATGGTGCCAAGGGCCAGGCTGTGCCCACCCCTTGACCCCCTGTGTGGCCCTCTGGGGGCCTAGGGGCTGTGCTGTGTGCCCCCTGCGTCCCCCCCAGGGTCTGGGAGCTGTGCTGTGCCCAATAAAGGTGCCAGGGGCTGGTTTTGGGGTGCTGTGCGTGCGGGTGTGGTGCCCGTGACAGGGCGGTGTGTGACGTGACAGGGCTGGGCTGGTGACGCAGGTGTGGGACCGGGCAAAGGTGCTGGAGTGGGACCACCCCCCTTATCACTGCCCAGGGCCATAAAGGAGGGGGCAGGGACACCCTGGGGGGTGGCATCGATGGGTTTGGGGGCTTGGAGCCCCTCGGGCACTCACAGGGGACACTGTGGCAGGGTGGCACCGGGCTGGGGTGGCCCAGCCCTGCCTAGTGATGTCAGTGCCCGCCCAGATACTTATCGGGGCCCCAGACACTTATCAGGGTTTCAGGGCCTTATCGGGGTCCAAGGCTGCCCTGCGGCCCTGACCCCTCCCTGGCACTGGGCACAGGGCACTGGGGCGTCACACACCCATCCACAGGGATGGCACTGGGATGGCACGCACCCAGCCACTGGGATGGCACCTACCTCTGCCCCAGGATGGCACCCACCTGTCGACCAGGATGGCACTGGGGTGTCACTCAGCAGCCCCCAGGACGGCACTGGGGTGTCATCCACCAATCCACATGGATGACACCAGGATGTCACCCATTTGCCTCCCAGGATGGCATTGAAATGTCACCCACCCACCCCTGGCATGGCACTGGGATGTCACCCAGCAGGATGACACCAGAAGGTCACCCACTCATCCTCAGGATGGCAGTGGCACATCCCTGCCCACAGAGTGGGGAGCATGGGGAGGTTTCCCTGCAGGACACACCTGTGGCACCCACCTGGCACTGCCACAACACCCAGGGGTGACCCCACACTGTTTCCCCCTTCCCTCATGCCCCTTGTGCCCCTGCAGTGCTCCCAAATCCCCCAGTTTGTGCTTACATGCCCCATTTTGTGCCCAAGTTCCCTGTTGTGCCGGGTTTCCCAGGAAACAGCTCCGGCCCTGCCCGAGGATCGATCGATCGATCGTCGTTAATGATTCCCCGGGTTAATGATCCCCCATTTACAGCCCCGGACGGGGCTGATTGGCCTTGTGGCTGTCAGACCAGCTGGGCCCTGCCAGGAAAGTGCCTGCCCCAGGGGTGCCACCCCATATAAAACAGGCTGGGCTGTGTCAGGGACACCCCTCTGCCACCATGGTGGAGTCCCTGGCGCTGCCCAGCGCCCTCCTGGCAGCCCTGCTGGCAGTGGTAGGAACTGGGGTGGCACTGGGGGGATATGGGCACTGCGAGGGGGAGGGGTGGGGTGCAGGGTTTGGGGGACACTGGTGTTGAACCCACTGGGTGCCTGTTGGGTGACAGTGGTGGGGCTGAGGGTGGCAGAGTGAGGGGGAAACTATTGTGGTACCCTTTGCGTAGTGATTTGAGGGCCCAGCAGTGACAGAGTGGGGAGGGCACCGCTGTGATGCCCATCGGGTACCTGTTGAGTGCTCTTTGGGTGGTATTTGGGGAGCTGAGGTTGGCAGAGTAGGGGGACACCTGCAGTGCCCACCAGGTGCCTTCTGGGTACCGTTTGGATGCCGACAGTGCCATCCCCCTCCCCAAACCCCTTCCCACCTCCCCCCTCCACCTCCCCAGGCCTCCCCGTCCTTCACCCCGATCCACCGCGCCGGGTACTGTGCCTTCTACGGCGAGTGCGGGCGCAACCCCGAGGTGAACGTGTCGCTGGTGCCCTCCAACGTGCCCTGCCTGTCCAACACCCCTGCCCGGGAGGCTACGGGGCCCTTGCTGGACCTGCTGCGCACCGTATGCCCGGACCTGGTGCGGGGGGACAACGAGACCACCCTGGTGTGCTGCACCTATGGGCAGCTCAGCGCGCTCCAGCTCAGCG